CTCTCTGGCGTCCCAAGCCAGCTCTTAACCATCGTGCCACTCGGCTGGCCCTTTTTTTTTTTTAATGGACACTGCTAATTTAATTTTGCATCCTCTAATAGGCCCTGGATTTTGCATCCAGTTTTCCCTTTCTTTCTAGTCCCAGACTGTATTTCAGATGATTTGTTGCTCAGTGGATTCAACTTAGTTACAATTCTGAAGGATGCTTTATTTTATATTATATGCTATCAGTGAAAAGCCATATATTGGATCCTTGACTTGACGTCCCTGTCTGGACCTGAATTAAAGACACTACTCACTTCTACTGAGGCACCTTCCATGCTCTCAATCATTTTCAAAAATACTACGCGAAAACAGACTAAATTCTCACATTACAGTGTGTTTGTTCATGAAAATTCTTGCTGCCATGCCCATTTACTAGAGTAAAGCCCGTTCTACATGTTAATTCTTGTTGGTGTTCAATGTTTGGCATATATGTTATTATTACTATTACTGCACCATAGATTCTATCAGGGAAGTTTCCATTTCTCATGACCATTCTTTATAAAGATGTGACAAAATATCTCAGTGCCTTATTTCTAGATTTAAAAAATATATACTCAAACTCCAGGTGATGGGGACATTACTGCTAGCCTCACAGAAATACAAAAGCTTATAAAGAAATACTGTGAATAGTTTTATGCCAGGAATTAGATAACTTAGGTGAAATGGACAAGTTCCTAGAAAGAAACAAACTACCAAAACCAAATCAAGAAGTGGAATAGACTTATAAGAATTAAAAAGATTGAATTTGTATTTCAAAAAACTTTTCACAAAGAAAAGTCCAGGACAAATGACTTTCACTATTGACTTCTACCAAATATTTAAAGAAGAATAAACACCAATTTTTCAGAAACTCTTCTAAAAGATAAAAGAGGAGAAAATACTTTCCAATTTATTCTATGAGGCCAGTATTAGCTTGATACCAAAACTGGACAATGCCATAATAATAAAACTAAAGAAAAATATCCCTTATAAATTTAGATGCAAAAATCCTCAATGAAATACTTGCACACTGAATCTAGTAACATATACATGATCATACATCATGACCAAATGGAATTTATCCCCAAAATACAAGTTTTGTTTAACATATAAAAATCAATCAATATAATACACCATATTAACAGAATAAAGGACAAAAACCACATTACCATCTCAATAGATGAGGAAAAGTATTTGACAAAATCTAATAATAAATTTAAAAAAAATGAAAAGAAGAAAAACAAAAATATTAAAAAAACACTCAACAAACCAAGAATTGAAGGGAATTTCCTCAATCTGGTAAAGGACATCTTCAAAAAATCCAGAACTAATATTATACCTAAAGGTGAAAGCTTGAAAAATTTCCCCCTAAGATCAGGAACAAGACAAGGAGATCTGCTCTCACCATTTCTATTCTACATTGTAGTGGAAGTTAAAGCCAGTGCAATTAGGCAGGAAAAAAAGAAAGAAAGAAAAAGAAAGAAAGAAAGAAGGAAAGAAAGAAAGAAAGAAAGAAAGAAAGAAAGAAAGAAAGAAAGAAAGAAAGAAAAAAAAAAGAAAGAAAAAAGAAAGAAAAGGCACCCAGATTGTAAAGAATAGACTAAAACTATTTCTAGATGACATGTACTTCCATGTAGAAAATCCTAAGGAATCTGCATACAAACAAAAACTTTGTTAGAGGTAATAAATGAGTTCAGCAAGGATGCAAGATATGAGATCAATATACAAACATCAATTGTATTTTCATGTCTTAGCAATGAATAATGCAAAATTAAATTAAGGAAACAATTCCATTTCTTATATCATAAAAAGGTAAAATGTTTAAGAGTAAATTGAACAAAATTAGTGTAATACTTATTCACCAAAAACTACAAAACAAGTTTGAAAGAAATTTAAGACTTAAATATTTAGAAAGACATTTTGTATTCGTGGACTGCAATACATAATATTTTAAAAATGACAATATTACCAAAACTGATCTACAAATTTTAAATTTGTAGGGGCAATTCTGATTAATATCTCATTTGCCCCTTTTAATACAAATTAGCAAGCTGTTCCTAAAAATTGTATGGATATGCAACAGATCCAGAAATGCAAAAATGATCTTGAAAAAGAGGGACAAAGTTGGAAGGCTCATATTTCCCGATTCCAAAGCTTACTACAAAGTTACATTAATCAAGAGTGTGGTACTGCCATAGGATAGACAAATCAATCAATGGAATAAAACTGAGAGTCCAGAAATAAAACAATATATCTGTGGTTAATTGATTTATACAAGATGCTGAGACCATTCAATGGGGGAAACAACAGTCTTTTCAACAGATGGTACTGGGACAACTAAATATCTACATGTGAAAAAATAAAGTTGGACCCCTACCTCACACCATATACAAAGGTTGATGCAAAATGGATCAAAGGCCTACATTTTAGACCTAAAAACTATAAACCTCTAATGACAAAAGAGGCATGAGTCTTCATGATTTTTGATTCAGCAATGGTTTCTTAGTAAGAATATTAAAACACAAAAACTAGAGAAAAAAATAGATGAATTGGACTTTATTCAAAATAAAATCTTCTGTGCTTCAAGAAAGTGGAAAGACAATTCATAGAATGTGAAAATGTGTTTTCAAATTATTTATCTGATAAAGGGCTACTATTCAGAATATAAAGAACTCTAACAACAATAAAGAGAAAACCATTTTTTTAACATGTCAAAGCATTTGAATAAATATTTCTACTTTATTTTGAGAAATAAAGGCCATTTTGAATTCTTTTCAATGAAAAAAAATAATTCTGTATTGGCTTGTCAGGATGCCAGAGCCTCTAGTTTGGCCTTCTTCCTTTTGCCTATTACTTTCATTCACTCAAGTAACTACATGTAGGAATTCTACCAAGAATTAACAGGGTCAGAGACAGGTCAAAATAAAATTGTTCAATTTTTTTACTTACTGGAAAAAAAAAGCCCAAGGGATTAACACAGTCGGGAAGTAATTATTTAAATGTGTTTGAGTCACCGTGTGGACCCTGGTTAGCTATGCTTTTCCTGTTACTCATTATGAAAAATAGTTAAGATGTAAGTGAATCTCAGAGCTATCTGTAAATTGTAATATAATTTGACATTGTCTTCCCTGACAAAATGAAAATGTTATTTATATTCTGTAATTGAAATACAGGATTGTAAATTGGTGCAGCCACTATGGAAAATGGTTTGGAGGTTCCTCAAAAAATTAAAAATGAAACTATCATATGACCCAGCAATTCCATTCTGGGCATTTATCGGAAGAAACCAAAAACACTAATTCAAAAAGATGTATGCACCCCTCTGTTCACTGTAGCATTGTTTACAATAACCAAGATACGGAAGCAATCTAAGTGTCCACTGATAGACAAATGGATAAAGACAAGATTATATATATATATATATAATTGAATATTACTCAGCCATAAAAAAAGAGTGAAACCTTGTCATTTGCAACAACATGGATGGATCTAGAGGGAATTATGCTAAGTGAAATAAGTCAGACAGAGAAAGATAAATACCACATGATTCTACTCATATGTAGAATCTAAAAAACAAAATAAAGGAACAAATAAAAAACTACACGTTAGATACAGAGAACATTTTTGATGGTTGCCAGATGGGAGGAGGATTGGGAAGAAGGTGAAAAAGGTGAAGGAATTAAGAAGTACAAATTGGCAGTTATAAAAATAGTCATGGGGATATAAAGTACGACATAGGGAATATAGTCAATAATGTTGTAATAACTATATAAAGTGCCAGGTGGGTAATAGACTTATCAGCGTGATCACTTTATAAGTTACATAAATGTCTAATAACTATGTTGTACACCTGAAACTAATATAATACTTACTGCATGTCAACTATAATTGAAAAATAAATTAAAAAAAAAGAAAGAAGTCTAATGTGGCTGGTGTAAGAAGACATGGAATGGAAAATGAGCCTGTGAAGAAAAAACAAGCCTCAATATCATAGTAAGCAATTTCTATGTTATTCGGGGAATTATTAAAGCAATGGGTTAGTGAAAAATTTCATCATTGCACCTCTTTAACATCATCATGAGCTGCAGTTTATGAACTTGGAATTGAGTCAGTTTGAGAGCTAACACAGCTCAAGTCTCTTGGGGAGAAGAAGCAAACGCCAAGGCCAGAGGTCATTATCTTCAGAGCCATAAAATTTGAATTGGAGAAATACTGAAAGACATTGACCTGAAAAGAAAACCATCACAATTAAAGCAAGTATTAAAGAGAGTAATTGACTGGATATTTGCCAACTTTGAATTAATTAGATTTAGCCTCAATTTTTTTAAAGTGCTGGTTGCAGCAAAATGAAGCCATCCTTCTCCCATATAGTGAGACATTAATGTTTCCATTATCATTCATTTCAAGCGTGAGCTCTTCCCAACTCAAATCTATTTAGTTGGTTAAAAATGAAGTGATGGTTTCACATAACATCGCTTTCAGGCAGACCTCCATCTGGCTCTAAATTAGTCAAATAAAAGGCTTCCCACTTTCACCTGCCTTGCCTGTGCTCAGCCTTAGTATTACCATTAATAGTTTGGAGGTTCATTACTACTGGAATCAGGAAGTTAAACAATATATTACGGAACTCTAACCAAAAGATCCTAGGTTCTGGCATTTGCTTTATCCTTGTGTGCGTGCCTGACTGCATGAGCGTGCATAGGGATGCCTGCTTATAGTGAAATAGGCAGGTATGACATGTATTGATTGGGCTCTCCCTGTCATTAACTGGGTAGCAAACCTGTCACTTCTCCAAGCAGTGCATCATGTTGACAGGATGCATTACATTGTATACGTTTTTTTCTTTGCTCAGATCATTTGTAGCTGAAGCACACTTGCCACCATTTAAAAGTGAGCTCCACAGCATTTCCCAGTCATTGACATCATCGTCTTGACCTGGATATTGCATTTCTCTGCTAGCACAGAGGGTTTCTAACATGAACAAGATCCTCTCAACCACTCTTTGCTTTGGACTCCTAACTCTGTTATCTGTAATGATCTTTTCAGAACCAGTGCACGGACGGCCATATCTTATCCAAGGTATGTACATGTGAATCTAAAATCCTACAGGTGAGTAAATTAATCCTTATCGTCCTGGTTGCATCACTTTGATTTTTCTGCCATTACTGCAATAATGTTTGAAGACATTAATATAATTTAATCATCAAATATCCCTTTAGTAGTTGCTGTTTTAAATTAAGTGTAATCTGTGATGCTGTTCTTTTCAAGTAAATTAATTTTAACCAACATTGTACTAAATTAAATTCAACTACACTTTATTTTTTTCTAATCAGGGGGCGCCTGTTTCTCATGTCTATTCCATGACCAAAGATGGAGAATGTATAAATAGTAATACAGTCAATCATACAATCTCTGCATATTTCAAAAGTACATCTTGGGGAAAGAAAAATGAGATTTTCATCCAGTGAATTGTTAGTAAATTACTTATGAAAGAAGAATGGCTCAGAGAAGAACATATCAGGATAGAAACTTGTGTTTGAAGAAATTTGAGAGTAATAATGCATGGGGAAATCTACCTAGTAGTTTTAGAAGGACGATGCTAACACCCACATTATGCATTGAATGCATTTATCAGCTTTCTAACGTATTTAGGGGACTCATGTTAAATGAAATAATTTAGTCTATGACATTTACAGGTATATTCCATGAATAACGGAGAAAATAAATTTCTGCTCTTGTAATATTATAACTTGTATTTATCTTTTCTAAAAAAAATTGAGTGCTTTCTGTAGGGAAGATAACTCTTAATCTGAAAGTAAATGGAGCTAGATTTAATGCTGGTTTATTAGGCAAACAACCTCATTGAAACTTTTATATATTATTTCTTTATGTTTTAAAAATAGTAACTTAAAATAGTGCTTTCTAATATTCCCTCCAGCTTAAAATTCTAGGGCTATCTATTATCTAACTGACCTCCCTGTCAGGAAGAGGGAGCTATCCTTTACTTTTGTCTTATATAGGAGAACCAAGGTAGAATGTAATATTGTTTACATGACACTGGGTTAAGAAAAGGGATATAGTTTCTCCCCTTTGGATCTAATTCAACTTTACTAGAACACATTGCCTCAAACGTGGTTTTAAAAGTCAATGCAAATTAGAGCAGTTCTTTTGGCAGTGAAAATAAAATTGGATAAACCTTTGTTATTTATTTATAGGGATTTTCTTGTTGAGAAACACATTGTCTGAAAGACCTAAATACAAGCCTGGCAATCAAAGATTCTGAATTTTATCCATGGCACTCACATTTTGTATTTGACCAGTCAAAATGATTGCACTTGCTAGGACCCTGTTGCTCTTCCTGTAAAATAACAAAATTTTTCAATGTTCTTAACACAGTGTAAATGTAAAAAATGTGGCCATATATTGAGGACTTTGCAAAATTGAGATATTGGTTAATGGTAACTGTAAATTCTGATTTCATGTGTATATGAAACACAGAAAAATCCACTCTACAGCATTTTGCTAGATTACAATTAAATAACACCTCTGACCCCAGAATACCACATGGTGATATGCATACTGGCAGATATGAATGCATCACTGGCAGTATATTGGAAATGTTTCTCTCTGGGGTGAGTTGATCAAAGGCAACCCCTTTGCTCTCAGCTTCATTATATGTAAATGGAGAATATTGAATTACTATATGATTATTTTCTGATCTAAATTATTTATGATTGGTCTGCGCCTCTCTCCATGTATGCATTTTTTTTCAAAGCAACAAAATGATTTTAGTCGTTTAAAACACGTTTTTAAAAAATATGAATTTGTGTACTGACTGACTATAAAGTTGGGGTCACCATCTTTCTCTCTGTGTGTTAGACAATATGCAAGACAAATGACACAATCCACATGCTTTCATTTGGCTGAGCCATAGAAAAGCACGCCTCAATGGATAAGCCTGAAATGGGCAAACTGCCTACCACAAAAGGTGAAAGACCAAGTATCATGACCAAGATGACTATGGGAATTTTACTTTAGGGTATATTATTGTTTGGGGGGTTTCCAGGTTTCTTTCTGGCAAAATTTCTTGTCTGCATCCAATAAAAATCTTCACATTTGAATGATAAGCAATTAGATGACTAAGTCTTTTAAGATTCACTATCTCAAGTAGTAATGAGTCAGTATTTTCTGTGGATTTCCGAAAGAAATCACTCTCTAATGTCTGAATAACACTGCCATCCTTTGTGCTAAAAGTGCATCTAACTCAGGTATTCTTTTTTTATTCAAACATTTCTTTCATCAATATTAACTTTAGTTCAAATATAGAGACATATTAAAAGTACATATAGTGTTTTCTTTCAAAGCTATGCCTGTTTTAAAACTAAAAATGAAAACAAGAAAAAAACGACTTATTGTCTATTGTTTTTCTTAGCTAATGTTTTACTTAATTTAGAAGTAAAAAGGCTTTTTATTTCTTTTTTTTTTTTCTTCAGAGAGTTCTATAAAAGGTAGTTGGCTTAAAAGGTAGTGACAAGAATTTTTGAGGACAGTTATGCAGGTGTAATTACTGGAAACAAACTGGTAAAGAAGGGCAAATATATTAATTTGCTTTTTTGAAAAATGGTCCACTTAAATATGTAGAGAAGTAGACTGCAAATTAAGTAAATGAAAGCTTCATATCTACACTTTCCTCGTTACCTTTCTCTTAGTCTTATAAATTTTATAAATTGAGGGCAATGAATCTCTTTCTGTTATTGAAGTTCTCTTTCTGAAACAGTCATTATCATCTGGCTATAAAACAGACCTTTTTTCAATTTAAATATTTTAAAGATTACAATTCAACATTTTAATGTACAACTATAATAAAAATTACATTATTGCATAGTCATTATCTTTCTCTTAAACTAAACTATCTATGGGTCTTCACATAATTGATTTTAAACAAAAGTTCCATTGATATTCTATTAACATTATAATTACTCAACAGAAAAAAAACACAGAATTTCACAGAAAATTTCTACGTTTATGAAGTAAAGGAAACAGAAGAGCTGAGCAACAATTCAAGTGTTTCTGGTCAATTAGAGAAATGCTGTCACCTGCCCCAAGTGATCCATTTTCTTCCTGAGTAACACTCTCATTCCTTTAATTAGCCACTTAATTATTTACGTTCATCAATTGACATTTTGTAGACACAAAGATAAATGATTTAAAGAAAGAATCTAGTTTAATTATGAGCCATTTCTGTAGCTGAAACCATAATATTCTCACTCCTAAACTTTAAGCTTGCCAATCTATAATAGTTTCTGCCCACACTGTATCAGTTGATGCAAAGAGGTATGGGAGGGAAGAAATATTCTATCAAATTATATGATACAGGTTTGATTTTTTTCAGGCCACCTCACAAAATTTTGTTTTGTTTTTAATAAACTAATTATTGTTTCAATTGCATTGTTTGTTAATAGATACCTTGTTGAGTCTTCATGTTTTATAGCTTGAATAAAGTCTATTGACCTGGTTTCTATTCCAGAATAAAAATGTTTAGGACAATTTGAGTGTTATTTCTGTTTTTAGAGTGCTGAAAGTGTTGGGTGTCTGATGAATGAATGAACTATGAGGTAAATGGACCAAGATGGAAAGATGTCAGTATGGAAAAAGGAGATATCCCATCTCTTCCACAGATTTCCCTGGGTGGTTTATGGCCATACCCTGAACACAAAGTGGCTCACATTTAAATGTTTATATCAAATAAAATCTCAAAATCATATATTATTTTTTATTTTAAAATCAACTTTTAATTTATATTTTTTATGGTAAATGCAATAGTAGAAAATTTCAAAAATATGGATGAAATAGAAGACAGTAAAATTTACCTGCAGTTTACTACCCAGAAATAATGACAGGTAAAACTTGAAAGTTTAACCTTCCAGGCATCACTTCACATTCTCTGTCACAGTTTCTCTCTCACGCCCCCCACCTCTCTCTCTCTCTCTCTCTCTCTCTCTCTCTCTCTCTCTCTCTCTCTCTCACACACACACACACACACACACACACTCTTTGACTATTCATATACATTCAATGATTATAAAATAGTCCATCTCTTTGAATTACACACCTCTCTCCATACTGCTTTCATTGGTGAATATACGCATTGATAGTTACCTGTAAAACCTACTTAATTAGAAACACTTTTAGTGATGCAGATTGAAAATGAAGGTTTCATTACATGAGGGTGATCATTAAAGGAAATGAATTGTTTCCAGATAAAGAAGATACAAATCATGAGGAACTATTGATGGCTCTATTGAACAAAAATTTTGATTTCAAAGACCATTCAACATTGGTGGGTTAAGAATAAAGTCAAGCTTTATTTATTAAAAAAATAATAAAATCTGTCCTTTTTGACTTGGTCTTTTATTAATGTTAATTCATATAAAATAAAATAGTTACTCCCTTTTATGTGGCTTTGAAAGTCTAAGTATTTTTCTTGTTTCACATTCACATTAAAAACAACACACTTATTTAAAAATATTAATATCTTTTTTATTCAGTTAGAGGGTCATAATGAGATCAGTAACCATCAAGTTATAAAATAGTTATCTTTACTCATATTTTCCTCTCATCTATACAACTTCCTCCTGGTACAGTTAATTTTCTTTTACTAACTGCTTTAAGAGTATTACCAGGGCTGGCTGAGTGGCACGTTGGTTAAGAGTTGGCTTGGGATGCCAGCTCTGAGCAGCAGGGCTCTAGTTCAGATCCCACATGGGCCAGTGACGCTGCGCCCTCTACAGCTAAGATGGTGAACAACAGCTTGACCTGGGGCTGGGCTACTGTGAGTCGCCGGCTACTGTGTAGGCTGCAGTGGGGCTGCTGTGAGCTGCTGTGAGCCGCCCTGAGTGGCCGTCCAATAGCCGGCGAGCGACTGCCTCACCCGGGAAGAGTACAATGGTAATACCAACATGGGCCAGTGAAGCGACGTCCTACACAACTAGACTGAAGAATAAAAGGATGGCAACTTGTCTGTTCCCCTCCCCCAATTCCCTAATAAAATCTTTAAAAAAAAAAAAGAGTATTACTAAACGCTTCAAATCTATTCACAGGTTCGCACTTGAAGTTTCACAAATTAACTGCAATTTTGTGACAGCTAAGCTTGTACCTTTTTAAGTCAAATTCTTTTAATTTGGGAAATGAGTAGAGACCACTGGGAAATGAAGGCTACACCAATTGAGATTTTTTTTTGGAGCAATATGAGAAAATTTTTTTTGGAGTAATTGTGTATAATTATGCATCAGACTGCTCTTGAAGAAATTACAGATATTGTCAGAAACTTAAGCTTAGCCTAGGAGAAAATGTGGAATTATTACAATGTGGTACCCTCTCAGTAAATATCTGAAGTCTAAAAAAAAAGGTCTTTTCATGGGACGGTATACTGGTCAAAATAATACCTTAATAAACACTTTAAAAATACAGGGTTTTAAAATTAGAAGTAAGATAATTCCTCTGTAAAACACAGAGGGAATTTCTATTAATATTTTGGGGATTTTCCTTCTTGATTAAATTATATCAATAAGAGTTGTGTCCTGCTTTTTTTTTTTACTTAATATTGTTTCATGAGAATTTTCCTATGTCAATAAAATAGTTTACTTCTAATTAATAGTTCCTATTAGTACTATGGTCTATTTTAGAAAACTTTGTGCTTATTGTTGGAAATTAGATATTTTCTCATGACCTAACTGATTACATTTTAATATTATAGGCATTGAAAAAATATTTGGGCTTTTATATTAGGGATGGTGGGTGATCTTAAGTCATATGAAAAATACCTTTGCCTTCCACATAAGATCCTGACTGTGTGTTCTGAAATGAATTAAATATTACTTGCAATGTACATTTTCACATGACAAATGTGTCTTGCAGATATAGAACTGGCTAACAGATTGGAAGAACTTAACCAGGTGAGAATGTGAAATACTTATGTAATTTTAATAATTATTAGGCAATTGACTTTAACATAATGATTTTTAAATTATCAATACTATAATATAAAACTTATAGCTGAAGTGATCATGGGACAAAATGTCTAGAAACCTAAACACTAGGCGTAGCTCTCCAATTACTTAACTATGAGACTGTAGTCAAATTAAAATTCTCTAGACCTAAATATCCTCATTCGTAAAATAGGAGTCTAAAGCTAGATTGGTGGTTTTCAAAACTCATTTTTAAAGTAGAAACATATTTTTCCCCCAAAATTGTATATGGTCCCAGTAAATGAAACATATAAAAGTGAAGCTATTCTGCCTGAAGCACCTGGCTTGGGGGCCTGAACTGCTGCCTTCTTAACCCATATTTGGCCTCCTGACAGGGAGACCCTCATCAATATATTCCCCTACTTCTTGATACTCTAAGAAGAAAGTTTGAAAATCATTGGATTAGATGATTTCTAAACTCTTTCAAATACAACTGCATGCAAATCCATTAAGTTAAAAATTGTGTGGCTGTTTGGGAAAGAAATTCTAGCCCATCATTCTCTCCTGAGCAGTTAGGGCACGGACCCACGCAGTAACCCAGGCTGAACTCTCCCTTAGTACAGTCAGGCCTGCAGGCCTTAGGCCATCAGAGAGCTTACCAAACATTAACATGAGTTGGATTCTGGGCAGAAACCTTAGGGCCTCAAAATAGTTCTCCCTTCCTGTTAGAAAGGACAAATATTTCAGGAAATCCAAGTCTTCACATACCTCTTTGGAGCTCCTTGAAAAGGACTGTTCATTATAGGTGACATAAAATCAAGTCCAGCTACACAAGCTGTGTTTACAGACTCTCCGTTAATTAACACCCAGAGTTGACTTCTTTCACCCTAACCCAGTTTCTTTGAATTCCCTGTTGAGTCATGTACCTTTCCCAGCTAGTCTCTAAATACGTATTTGCTTTTTATTTCTATTTAATTCTTTTTATTTTCTTTTATTATTTTTCTTTCCTTTTCTGTTCATATTTTCTCTTCCCTTTCTTCCATCTTAGCTTCTCTTTTTCCTTTCTTGTTTCCCATTCCTCTTCTTCAATAGAAAACAGCATGCTTGTTATTAAATACCAATAATGATCATGTTTGATTTTTAACAGCTGGAAAAGCTAAAAGAGCAGCTCACAGAGGCAAAGGAAGCTGAGAAGTCCTATGCTATAGATGGTCTATCGTCTCCCCATTCTAATAAGCGAGGTAAGGTTTCATTTCAAAGTTTAAAATTGACTTTTCAAAGATTACTTTTGCAGTTATTTCCAAAAGGGAAGAAATAAAGTGGACATTTCTTAATCCTATAGTGGTGATCAAGATCAAGGCTCATATTTTTTAAAAAAGATTCCAATGAAAGTGTTCCTCTATGTATGTATCCGAGGTTTGTCATGTTTATAGCAGTGGGTAGCATAGTCACATATTCTAGGATAAAGTGAAATAGGCCCTTATTGTTTAAAATTGTGGCCTACTTTTGCTATTTTAGCTTAAAGATTGGAGCTGGGAGGATTACAAATGGAAATCATAAAGTTTTAGGTCAACTCAGAATTTTAGAGCATCTTCATTAAAATAAGGAGAACCCTCATTGCTACCACACGTGGACCAAGGTTTGATTCATAACATTTACTTTTATAAAGACTCATCTTTTGGGTACTTTTAACTTTTCATAACATTTCCTTGGAAATTCTTGTTTCTTGCTGAATTAGTTCTTATATTTGAAAAAATTTAAGTATGTTTCTCTATTCACGTAATGAAGTGAGATTCCCTAAGGCATACTTTATTTTTACTTGTCCCTCTCCTCCCAGATTTGTTTTTAACTTCTGTAAAAACCTATTTTTACAATGCTACTAAAGGAGGATGAGCTGGTAATATTTGAAGACTTAGCCTCTGCCAAACATTTTAATATTTCAAAATGTTATGCCTCAGCACGTAGATTCTAGAGCTCAGCTAGACTGCCTAAGCTCAAATCTTAACTTTGACATGTCCCATCTATGTGACCTTGGGCATATCTCCACCTTCATGTGCCTGATTTACTTTGCCCCCCCACATTTAAATGATAACTATAATCTTTATGAGACTACTGCGAGGATTTGATGAGTTGTATATGAAAGGCATTTAGACTAATGCCTGGCATATAGTAAGTACTATATAAGCTTAACTTTTTTTTTT